TCCACCTGTTAAACCACTCCTGTTTTGGGGGTCGTCTCATTGTTGCCCCTCTAGTGCACCTGTTGTTAACTTCTTTAACACCAAAGCAGCTGAAACCGATTAACAACCCCCATTGCTACTTAACGGACTAGATCAATATACCAGAAGTTAAATTGACTCGATGCTATACTCTGATTAAAAAGTGTTCCCTTAATTTTTTTGAGCAGTGTATTTATACCTCTGCCCTTCCTCAGTAATTGTTTGCACACATTTGTAATAGACTTTACCACCCACATTGTGGCATGTAATTGATGAGATATTCAAGTTCTGCTTGTAGACATCTGCTGATAAAATTACAGACGTGTTACACATGGGAAAACCACTCAGTCTAACTCTCATGATTAAGGATCATGCATCTGATCATGCATCTGCAACAGGAAACCCTTTAAGGAGTACAAGAATATTGCCAAAAGAAAAAAAAAATGAGATCCATCCATTATCATTTATCCAGTACAGAGAGCAAATATGGAAACTATACAATACAATACACTACTGTTTAAAAGTTTGGAGTCACTTAGAAATTTTCTTGCTTTTGGAAAAAAAAAAAAGTTTGTTGTCCATTAGAATAACATGTATGGAAGCCCGTTTCCGCCACCGGGGAAAAAATAATATAAAATTTAAGTCGAAATTTTGACTTAGTTATCCCGTTATTTCGAGATATTATCTCGAAATTTTGACTTAGTTGTCGTTATTTCGAGATATTATCTCGAAATTTCGACTTAGTATCTCGAAACAAGTTTCTAGCTTTAATAACTTTTCACGGAAGTAAGGTGGGGCGTTTTCAATGACAGAATCGTGTTGTCGAGTTCACGTAATCAATTCAGCTGGGATACATTTGCTTTGTCCCACGGTGCACTGCCTAAATCACACTTTACAACTTACTTATGGATTCATTTGTGTTATCAATTAACTGTCAATATGTATGAAATGGAGCAATGGCATCTAATATGGATACGATGTAATAATAACTGTTAGACAGAAAGTGATCTTGAAAATCCAAGGGGTGTGCATTGTCCCCCATGTCCCCCTGATCCATGCACCCTTCATAGGACATGGCTGTCTCATTTTGTTTCAGAGCTATTAACCCTTTAGAGCATTACCCCTATGCCATATAATATGGATACAATGTATTAATTAATAACTGATAGACAGAAAGTTATTCTGAAAATTCAAGGGGTGTGCATTGTTCCCCGTAGTCCACTGATCAAAACACACTTCACTAGAAGTCCCTGTCTTGTCTAGTTTTAAAGTTATTAACCCATTCATGTATTGTCCCATTGCACATTATACGGACACATTTAAACATTCAAAAATTTATTAAAATTTGTACGTAATCTGGGAAACAAAGGGGTGTGCATCAGTCGCCATGAGCCCAAAATGCTAAACCACCATGTCATTACAGCTGACAACACCTATAATATTAGCTATTAACACGATTTTGCACAAATCACAAAATGGTTTGAAGCGCAAAAATAATCGGTGTGCATCGTTGTCTGTGTACTGGACAACACGATTCTGTCATTAAAAACGCACCACCTTCTGTGAAAAGTTATTAAAGCTAGAAACTTGTTTCGAGATACTAAGTCGAAATTTCGACTTAAATTTTACATTATTTATTTCCCCGGTGGCGGAAACGGGCTTGCATAAACATGAGATTGATCAGAAATACTGACATTGTGTAAACTAATGTTAATGTTGTAAATGACTATCACAGCTGGAAATAGCTGTTTTTAATGGAATATCTACATAGGTGTACAGAGGCCCATTACCAGCAACAATTAGACCTGTGTTCCAGTGGAATGTTGTATTTGCTAATGCAAGTTTATCATTTTAAAAGGTTAATTGATCATTAGAAAACCCTTCTGCAATTATGTTGGCACAGTTGAAAATTGTTGGGCTGATTAAAGAAGCAATAAAACTGGCCTTCTTTGGACTAGCTGAGCATCTGGAGCATCAACAATTGTGTGTTTGATTACAAGCTCAAAATGATCAGAAACAAACAACTTTCTTCTGATGCTTAATAGTCTATTCTTGTTCTGAGAGATGAAGGCTATTCCATGTGAGAAATTGCCAGGAAACTGAATATCTCATGCAATGCTGTGTACTACTCCCTTCACAGAGCAGCGCAAACTGGCTCTAACCACAATAGGAGGAGGACAGGGAGGCTCTGGTGCACAACTGAGCAAGGGGATAAATATATTAGTGTGTAGTCTGAGAAACAGATGCCTCATAGGTCTTCAACTTCATTAAATAGTACCTGAATAAGACCAGTCTCAATGTCAACGGTGAAGAGGCGACTCTGGGATGCTTGGCCTTCCAGGGAGAATTGCAGAGAAAAAGCCAAATCTCAGAATGACCAATAGAAAGAACAGACTGAGATGGGCAAATAAACACAGACACTGGACAGAGGAAGATGGGGAAAAAGTGCTATGGATAGTAGAATCTTAGTCTGAGGTGTTCGGATCACAAAGAAGAAATTCTGTGAGACGCGGATCATATGGGAAGACGCTTGACGACATCTGTCAGTCATGATGGAGGCAATGGGATGGTCTGGGCTGCTTTGGTGATGGCAAAGTGGGAGATTTGTACAGAGTGAAAGGGATCCTGAAGAAGGAAGACTATCACTCCACTCTGCAATGTCATGCCATACCCTGTGGACAGCATTTAATTGAAGCCAATGTATGTTTTCACAGAAAACAAGGAAATTTCTGATTGAACTTAATTCCATCTAACATTTACACAGATGTAAAGAAATAAAGCCAGAAGAAAGTGCAGGATAGAGAAATAGAATATGTGTGTGCGTTGTGCCAGTCAAAAGTTTAGACAAAGCTACATATACAAATGTTTCTTTGTACTATTTGCCACATTTTTGAGTAAAGCCCCGAAAAGCTTGTGCTAAATAACGGATTGGAATACAAATTATGTAACTCACAGCAGAGTCTCTCTCAATCAGGAACACATGTCCTGTTTCTGCATCACTCCCAATAACTCCCCATGTGGGCAGTGGTGGCTTGATGGTTAGGGAAGCACACTTGTAATTGAAAGATTGCAGGTTCGAATCCCCGACCAGCAAGGCACCACTGAGGTACCCTGAGCAAGGTACCACCCCCAAGCACTGCTCCCCGGGCACTAAATTAGCTGCCCCCTGCTATGTCACATATGGGTCAAATGCAGAGGACACATTTCGTTGTTGTGCACTGTGTGCTGTGGTGTGTTGACAATGACCACTGATCACTAAATTCTAATTCTAATAACGTGTCATTCCTGTCGTGGTTCTGACCACCTCTCTCCAGACTGCACTGTCACCCTAAAAGCAACAGTTTCTAGGGGGAATAATTTGAAAGCTTTAAACCCATGTGCTATTTTTACAGACTCACATAAATATTATAGGAACATTGCTTTATATGACCATTTTCAGTTGCATTTCTCAGAAAACATCTTTTCTCCCAGAATATTTTATGATAGATGGCCAAACAGCGCCATCTAGTGCCTCAAATTTTTATCCCCCCAAAAATATTTCTGAAGCATTCCAGGCAGTCTGCCTCTGACAAATGAGCTAAACTAAATCTGACCCTAGTGATCTTGCCATATTTTACTTGCTCTAGGGATAAAATAACCTTGAGATCAGTGGGATGTGTTAAGAGGCAATGACAAATAAGTCTGCTATCCACTTGTGCCATTTGTATGTACAGTGGATCTTCATCATTTATTTCAAACCGGATATAAATTTTAAATGCTTCCCTTGCTAGGCTGTTAGTTGGAATCTCCAAACACTTATTACCCAAGTGTGGCAATCAAATTTAAATGAATAAGATATGAATGTACCCTTAGGCAGAGATGGATAGTTCAGGTCCAGGATGTACAAATCCAAGGTTTTGTTTCAGCCAACCGGTTGAGTATTAAGAGTCAAAGTGTACTCAACTGGTTGGTTGAAACAAAACCTTGGTCTGGACCTGAACTTTCTACCTCTACCCTTAGGACAGCTGCATGCTCACACACACAGTCCCAAAGTGAACATCAGCACACTTTCAGTACTTTTTTGCTCAGTGCCATTTAAGAGATGATTTGCTAACCACATACAAGAAATCCGACTCCCCCACTGTCAGAGACTGATAGTTCCCATCAACACCTGGCATAAGTATCACCCTTCATATGTAACATACCAGGCAAAATGGTGGTCGTATTCAGTGGTAAATCTTGGGAACAAGCCGAAAATCAGTTAAGAAAGTAATGGACAGCAGATCAGCTCTAGATTTATGTAGGATGATCCAGTCATATATTCATTCAGCCAATCATCTTGTGACCACTTATGTATTACGGGGGGGGGGGGGCTGGACTCTATTCCAGGCAGTACACACTGGATGGGATTCCAAAACACACACACATACAGCAATTTAGGTAAGTCAATGAGCCTAGTGAATTGTCTTTGAATCCAGGAGGAAACCAGAGGAAATGTGTGTAAAACAGGCAGAACAAGCAGAGGCAGGATTCAAACCCCCTACCCTTCAGGTGTGATGGAACAGTGCCACACAAAGAGCCACCATGCAATTATACTTGGTCAGTCACGTTTCCAAAATTACTCTAATGTCTATAATACGTACATACTGTAGGAAGTGCATTCAGTTAGTCCACAGAATACAATGCTTCTGAAAGCACGAGATGTGGAGACTCGCAGTAAAGACAATTCACTGTACACATTTATTTACAGACTGATTTAACACAAGTGGGCCATTGTCCAAAAGAGGCATCCAAACAAAGAAATAATATATTAAACTGAATATATGTCAAACTATATTTTTAGCAAGGAATGTAGAAAAGGATTACAAAAGAGATTCACAATATTTCATTATCATTAAACTGAAATGAGTGTTAAATTGAGGAAAAATTTACATTACATTAATATAAAAGAAAAAAGGAGCCAGTAATCATGTTAAGCTGATTACATACTTAAGTACAAGGCCCTGGAAGGGAAAAAAACTAATGGCTTTGAAAACTAACACGCCTCTTTGGGCAAATTAAAATAAATTAAAAAGGCACATGCAAGATAAAGATTACAGCAAAAACACAGCTGTACAGAATCAAAGAGGGGAGCACAAAAAAGTTAAAGCTCCAGAAAATAACCTTTTTATTTGCAGTGTAACTTATAGGCAAAGACCTTTGTGAGAATACGGTTATAAGTTTAATGCATTTCATCTCCCCCATCATTTGAGGTTAATGTACTGGAAACCCAAGTCCAGTAGCCGTGAAATGTTGCTTTTCTTCCCTTGGCAAACAAAAGAAGAGGGATCAGGGGCATGTGGATTGTGGAAGGCATGACTTTTGACAGGTAAAAGCAGTCCACTCTGCATTTGACAAGCTTTGGTTTATCTGGGTTCAGAGCCCTGGCCGCAGCCTCCTCAGCATGGAAAATGTGCTGATGAAGAGGAGGAGGGCTGTTAAAGGAGAACCCCTGAGAGTTCTCAGATGACAAATTTGTTTTTGGTGGTGGATCCACTCTTGGTTGCTGTGTCAGCATGAGACTGGTATCCAATAGACATCTTCTGGGGAACTCCGAGCCGCTCTTTATATACCCTCCTGTGGCCAAAAAGAACATAGTAAGTATCCTTAACCCTTGGGAGTCGGCAGACCCGCCGGTGGGGACACTTTTTTTCTGGTAACTGTGAAAAGAACTTAAAATGCGTTGTCATGTTTGATCATACACGTAAGTGTAGTACACTTTATTTTACTTTTACTTTTGTAAAATAAAGAAAATAAACAGGGTGCGCTTTCAGCCGTCTCAGTCTCCGCGAAAATCTTTTTGAAACACGTCACTAAAATGAACTGAAACTCCGCGAATACTGCACAGACAGACATGAGAAATATATCTATAGACTTCATTATCTGCTAATGACCCGAGGCAGGGCACGCCCACACGCCATTCACACGGAAAAAAGTCCGGGCACTATGCGTACAAGGCCACGCCCCCCGGCTTAAAAACACACACACAGCAAGCTGCTATGACAATGGGTAAGTTATTAAGTCTTATATAACTCTTATTCTGATAATAATAAACTAATATTAGTAAATATTTTCCTCACTTCAGCTAGCTTTTGTCAGCTTATATGAAACATTGGCTTTCAATTCCATTTACATAGTTTAGTGTAGCATGTAGATAACTCTGCTAACATGCTGCCTTATGTAGCAAACATGTTATTTCCTGGTGGATAAGCTAATGCCTTATGGAGTTTACAGATGTTTGTAAATGTTCTAATGTATTTCACCTCGTTTTGTATAGCTTTAGATTATGGTTGCTAATATATATTTGGCTCCGTTTTGGTTAGCTTATAACACTGCTGTCATTAATGTTATTTAGCACAAACATTTCGGGTGTAAATGTTTGAGATGCGAAAATTTTTTTTAGGCTAACATTTTTTTATTCATTTGTTTTTAGTAATGTGTCTGCATCACCCTTGCCTTCACCAGCACCTCACATCGGGACACGCATGCTAAATAAACCACAAACAAAGAAATATGTTTCTGTCCTCAAATTATTTTCTTGTAGCACTTTCCTCTGTCCCATACCTGACTGAAAGGGGTAATTATACAGCTCATTATGCAGGTCTTTGTCTTCTCTGGTGTGAACTACAGCATTATTCATGATCATTCCCACCTCCTTGCATATGGCCTTTCTAAACAAAAAGTGTCTTAGAAAATTTAAATGAATGTATTGTTTTCTGTAAATGAGTGAGTGAGATGATTGTCACATCATTTTGAAGTAAAACCTCTACACTACAAGATCCAGGTCACAAAAATCTTGTACACAAATGTCATGAATGTGTTTTGTGGTCTAATTTCAGTGACTTATTTTTTTGTTGTTTTCAATAATCAAACATAACTGCTTTTTTCTCGAATATAAAGACTTGTACATACATATATTCATATATTATTGTAGCCCAGTTTGTGCGGAATACAATGTTATCAGACTTTAGACATTTATATGTTTATAAGTAACTGAAAAATGCACAAATGTCAGGACATGTCAGAATCTCTTCAGGGCTCCAAAACACCTTCAGACTCCTAAGGGGTAACAGTTAATTCATTTTTAAGAAGCAGACCTATAGAACCTATTAACCTACCTTTCAAACGTATTCTAAGTGTGCTTATAAACAATAAGTAAACATTCGTAAGTATGTTATTGAGAACTCATTAACCAGCCTTTGTCAGGATTGGTACAGTACTGTCCAAGCCGGGTCCTTGTGTCTCTTCCCTGTTTGGCCAGTAGGTGTTGCTGGCCATCCTGTTCTCTGTCATTCAGTCCTTTACCCCTGTGTGTT